CTCACATCTTACCCATTCATGCCATCTGCTTGGGGTCCTGGGTCCAAGCCTCAAAACTCACTGCCACCGAGTTTATTCCAAGTCATAGTGACCCCACGGGGACAGGATAGAAGCGCCCCTGTGGGTTTCCAGAGCTGTAACTCTTTACTGGGGTAGAAAGCCTGGTCTTCCTCTCTGTGAGAAGCTGGAGGTCTCAAACTGCTGGCCTTGAGGTGAGCAACTCAACGCATAACCCACCGTGCCATAGAGATTGATGATGAGAGTACACATATTTTAAATTTATATTGCTGGTGAAGAAAAGATTAAGTATCGATTGAAAAACTCACTCCCCTGGCAGTTTCTAGACAATCATTTCTTTGGTTAAATTCTCTGGGTGCTGTCAACATGGTTGGCATTAGTTGTTTCTCTTCTGTTGTCTCAATCTCCCTGCCCCTGTCTTTTCACCTCTGCGTCCAGACGTCTGCTGAGGTCAATTCTCATTTTTAAAATAGTAACACCATACTGCAGGAGCCCTGAGCTACCAGCCACAAGGTCAGCAGTTGGAACTCAGCAGCTGCTCCAACAGGAGAAATAGGTCTGCACTCCTGTAGATGGGCAGCTTCTGAACCCCCAAGGGGCAGTTCTCCTCTGCCCTGTAGGGGCTCAATGGGTCCAAATGGACTTGAAGGCATGGTGCTTGATTTGATAACACAATACTCTAGGACAGTGGTTCTCCACCTTCCTCATGCCACGACCCTTTAAAACATTCCTCCTGTCGTGGTGACCCCAGCCATGAAATTCTTTTCATTGCTACTTCATCACTGTTGTGAAAGGGTTGTTGGACCCCCCTTGGGCATCGCAACCCACGGGTTGAGAACTGCTGCTCTAGGGGGACAAGTTTTACTTTGGGCTCAACTGTCATTTAATGAAAGGTGACTTGAAGGGATAGTGAGGCACCCAGGTGGGCTGTCAGGCAAGTGTTGGACTGCAAACTTCCAGGTCAGTGGTTCAAAGCCACCAGCTGCTCTGCAGGAGAGAGTCAAAGCGATGTGCTCCCATAAAAACTTCCCCAGAGCCTCCAACACTCTACATAGCATTGTCATAAAGCCGCTCATCGGCAGTGGGTTTTGCTTTTCAGGGAATAGTTTTCAATTCAGGGTTTGAAGAGCAAGTCAAAGCTAGAGTCTTATAGACCCCTACAGACTCAATAGGTCCAATAAATCTGGATTCTGAGAAACATCTGAAGTTCTGCATGACATTTCTGTCCCTGGTTAGCTGGCTCTCTCTATGAAATTCCTGATCAGCACACTTAGTACAGGCAGCCGGGCACCACCTACATCTTCTGGTCTCATAGCGGATGTCGTTGCAATCCCACGAGGGTGACTTTCTCTCTCCCATCTACATGCCTCTTCTTAGGACAGAAGGACAAGTCTGAGGAAGTCTTACCTAGGGCATTGAAGGCGGGCAGCAGGTCAAACTCCACACTTTCCGGCAACTCTTTGGACCTCAGGGAGAAGCTGAGCACCCTGGGAGCACACCACTTGGAAATCTCCACCTTCACTTCAAA